CCTGAACCCCCGGGCCAGCCCGGCCACGCCATCCAGCGGCACCTGCACTGACCCCGTGCTGACAGCGGCAGGCAGCCCCGTCTGTGACTGCCCTGCACCCGGGGCCCCCTGCCTTGCAGGGCATTGCACTATCCACGCCTGCCCGCGGGTGCTGGGAGGATCAGGGCAGCGGGAGCCCAGGTCTCCAGGCTCCGGCTCAGCCCTGGGGCCGGCGTGGCCAAGGCTGGCAGGGCCCAGCTCTGGGCAACGCAGACGGGAGGACGGCGTCGGGGCTGAAGCTGACCGCACGATAGGAGTTTGCCGGGTGGAGGGAGAGAAAGGGGTCCCGCATGGAGGCCAGTCCAGGAGGCCGCCGTCCCCACCCGTGCAGGACGGGATCGTGGGGGTGAAGAGGCAGAGCTGGAGAGAGGACCGTGGGAAGGGGTGTCACAAGTTCTGGAGCCGGACTGGCAGGGGAGGCTGGCCATGCAGGGGCCAGCAAGGGCCAACCACGGCACCCGCCCACAGGTGTACCCGCCCGGTTCATATGGCAGGGACACCACCGCCTACCCAGCTTCCCGGAGCTCTGGCAGCACCTACCCCCCGCCTTTCTACGTAGCAGGTGCATGCGGCGTGGGCACGGGGTGGGCAGGGCCCGGCCCCCCGGCCCCTCCAGCTCCCTGACCGCCCCTCCACCCCTCCACAGATGGTGGCCTGCACCCCTCAGCTGAGCTCTGGAGCCCCACGGGGCAGGCGGGCTTCGGGCCCATGCTGGGTGGGGGCTCGTCCCCCCTGCCCCTCCCGGCGGGCGGCGCCGTGGGCAGTGGCGGTGGCACGTTTGGCGGCCTGCACCCGCAGGAGCGCATGGTAGGTGGGCAGGGGGCGGGGTGAGGGCATGGGCGGCACCCTCTGACCCCCGCCCGCCCCCAGGGCTACCAGCTGCCCGGAGCCGGAGCTGAGGTGAACGGTGCTCTCCCGGCCACCGCCTTCTCCCCGGCCCCGGGGGCCGCTTACAGCAGTGTCGCCGGCCACACGCCGCCCGGCAGCAGCGCAGACGGAGTCGTGGGTACGCTGCCCGGGCAGGGGCGGGGCGGGGTGTGGGGACCCGCCTGAGCCGGGCCTTGTGGACAGGCGGCGAGGCTGGGCGGGGCGGCGGGGACGGACCCCCCGGCCCTGACCACGTGTGCCCTCGCCCACTGCAGATCTACTCCCCGGACCCCTCCAGCAATAACTTCTCGTCTAGCCCGTCGACTCCCGTGGGCTCCCCCCAGAGCCTGGCAGGTCTGTGCTGGGTGCCAGGCAGTTGGGAGGGGTCCAGTCACCCGGGGCCCTGTGGCATCTTGGGGCAGGGATGGTGGAGGCCAGGCTCCCTTGCTAATGGATTTTGTCACTGTAATCCAGGGGGCTTTCTGGAGGAGGCGGCCCCAAGCCAGTTTTCTAAAGCCAGAGCACAAGAGCAGCCATTAAAAGGGGTTGGGAGGGGGGGGGTAAGGGGTGGGTAAGGTGACAGCCATAGGGCCAGGCCAGGAGGGGGTCCTGGTGGGGTGCGGGGGAGTGTCCCAGGGCAGCAGGATGGGGCTCTGGCTGCTGCACACCGCCATGCACCTCCCGGGGTGGCTCCGGCACACGTACCTGGCCAGGACAGCCTGGTCTCGGCAGGGATGGGGCTCGTGCCCGGGCTTCTGCCCACAGGGAATCCTCGCCCTGGCCTGGCGGGACTCCCCTGGCATCGGCCTCTGGTCAGCGTCGGGTTGGGCTCCCTGGCAGGCCTGGAGCTGCTCTGCAGGTGCGGGGTGCCCTCATGTGGCCATCCCGGGCACTGCCGGCCGCCCTGCCCCTTCATGCATCTCCTGCCTGCAGGGACGTCGCAGTGGCCCCGAGCCGGAGCCCCTGGTGCCTTATCGCCCAGCTACGACGGGGGCCTGCACAGCCTGGTGAGCCCCCGGAGGGACGTCTCGCTGCTTCCCTCGCAGTGATGGCAGGCTGCCCGTGGGGACTCTGAGCCTGCCCTACAGCAGCCTTCCAGGAAGGGCGGGCGCTTCCTGCAGAGGGCCTGGGCCTCACCACCCTGTGCCCGCAGAGCAAGATGGAAGACCACCTGGACGAGGCCATCCATGTGCTCCGCAGCCACGCCGTGGGCACCGCAGGCGGCGTGCACGGGCTGCTCCCCGGCCCCGGGGCACTGGCTGCAGCCTTCGCTGGCCCCGTGCCCCTGGGTGGACGCCATGCCAGCCTGGTGAGCACCAGATGGGGCCCGGATGGCTGTGGCCGTGGGCAGGCTGCTTGAGCTCCCGGTGGCTAGTGGGGCCCAGACCCTGGCCCTACCTACCTACCTGCCTGCCTCCCCGACCCGCTGCCCTGTCCACCTGCAGGTGGGAGGGGGCCCGGCAGAAGATGGTGTCGCGGGCAGCACCACCCTCCTGCACGGCCACACAGCCCTCCCCAGCCAGCCTGGCGCCCTCCCTGACCTGTCGCGGCAGCCTGACTCCTACAGTGGTGAGTCCTGAGGGGGTACCCTGACCCACCTTCTGCTCTGGAACACGGGGCCCACAGAGGCCTTCCCCCAGGACCAAGGCCCGGCCCCAGGGCCCCACCCGTCTGCTGAGCCTGGTCCGCACCCAGATGCCGGGCGAATGGTCCCTGTTTGCAGCTGGAGACCCAAGGCACTCGGGGAGTCGGGGAGCCCCCAAGCTGCAGGGTCAGCCCATCTTCAGGTCCCACTGGGGACCACTGGCCAGGTGGGGGCGCTGGCTCTGTGTGGGCTCGGGGTGGCTCGTGTCCTCACGCCCAGCTGTGCTCCACTGCGGGTGGACGCCGTCTGCCAGGGAGAACAGTGAGGGGCAGGCCCCGTCTGCTCAGCGCTGGTGACACTCCCGGGGGGAGCTGGGCCAGAGCTGGGCCAAGCCCTGCCTGGGGTCCTGACACTGAGCTGGGAGGACTTGACCCCAGGCAGGTGGGAGCCCTGGGGGGCAGCTCAGCACTCGCGCAGGCGCCCTCTGCTGGCGGCCAGGACAGCAGGCAAGGGGGGGACCAGGGAGGGGGTGCCCCCAGGGAGTGGAAGCTTTGGGGGGTGGGACAGGAGGTGGCTCTGGTGGCCGCTAGGCTGAGTGGCTGAGGAGGGCCGAGGGCAGCGGTGAGGACACACCTCCTGGGAGGTCGGACATTGTGAGGGCAGGATGGTGGGTTGCCAGGGCCGCCCCAGCTTGCACGCTGACCGGGGTGCCGTCTTCAGCCCATGGTGGGCCTCGCCAGAGCGGTGCTGCCCGGGTGGCCGTCTGCGTCACCGTCACCGTGTGGGAGGGCGGTTGGCCCCTGCCTGCGTAGGCCGCAGGTGTGTCTCCTGAAGGCAGGCGGCACCGGGGCCCCTGACGGGCAGGGGCTCTCCCCTGGGAGGCTGTGCCCTGGGCACGCTGTGGCTGTCACCATGGTGTCCCTGGACACTGCTCAGCACCTGCAGAAGGCCTGAGTCGTGCGGCAGGGGCTCGCCAAGAGTGGTGCCCCGCGGTGCCCCGGCACCAGCCGATGCTACCCCAGCCCCTGCGTGGGAGCGAGTGTCCCGGGGAGGGCCGAGCAGGGGTGCCTGCACCCGCCTGCCCCGGAAGGCCCAGTTTCCCGAGTGCTGGCTGGGAGTTGTCGGGCCCGCTGCAGGGTCTTCGGTCGGTTGGGGCTGCGCGTCCTCTCCTCCCCAGCCGGCTCCCGGCCCCAGGTCGTCGGGGTGTTTGCTTCGCCAAGCCCCAGGATGGCTGTGCCACGGGCCCTTCTCCAGTCTTCCGGGGTGTGGGGCGCACATGCACCCGGCATGTCGTCCACGGGTCTGGCTGTGCCATCGGCCATACGGGACCCAGCGCCTTAACCTTGCCTGGCCGGCCCCCATGCTGGTCTGACGGGGTGGCAGCTGGTGTCTCTCCTGGACGTGGGTTCTCAGCGTTGGCTCTGGCTCATATGGGAGCCAGAGTGCCCTGGGGGGTGGCGCGTGGGGACCTGGGCGCCGTTGATGGCTGCACTGAGAGGCACACGGTCCCTGGCAGGGTCTCCGCGCCTGACCCACCGCCAGCCCTGGTCTGTGGCAAGTGTCCAGCGTGCTCGGGGCCCAGGCCTGGGGCTCGGCCTAGCCTGAGAGGGCGGCGAGACCTTGTTGAAGTCTCCCGTGCCCTGAGCAGACGGCTCTCTGAGCACTTAGGAAACAGCCCACGCCGTGTGCCAAGGGCTTGCATCTGGGCCAGAACCCACGTGGCCAACTGTGGTTTGAGTCCACCAGGCGTGTGTGCCCAGTCCCCGACAGGACGCAGGGGAGGAGGGCCCATGCCTGGCCGTGGCCCTCTCTGGCGGTTCGAAAGGAAATTCGCTCCCATCTTGCAGTCTCGAGGCCTTGTCTCCTGTTCTTGGTCTGGAGTCGGCACCCGCTTGGCGCTGGGCAGGGGTGGGCTCTGAGTCGGTGTTCTCTGCAAAACCCTGGTCGACCCAGAGAGCACCCTCCCCAGGAGGACCGAGGGGACCGCTGGGTGGCCTGGCCAGCCCCTGACCCTGGGCTGTTGCAGGGCTCGGGCGAGCGGGCGCCAGCGCAGGCCCCGGGGAGATCAAGCGGGAGGAGAAGGAGGACGAGGAGAGCGCGCTGGCGGCCGAGACCTCGGAGGAGGAGAGGAAGGAGCTGAAGGCCGCCCGCTCCCGGACCAGGTGCAGCCCCCCCCTCCCCGCCCCCCCAGAGCAGAAGGCCGAGCGGGAGAAAGAGCGCCGGGTGGCCAATAACGCCCGCGAGCGGCTGCGGGTCCGGGACATCAATGAGGCGTTCAAGGAGCTGGGGCGCATGTGCCAGCTGCACCTGCGCAGCGAGAAGCCCCAGACCAAGCTGCTCATCCTGCACCAGGCCGTGGCCGTCATCCTGGGCCTGGAGCAGCAGGTGCGAGGTCAGTGCCGCCGCCCCGCCCCGCTGCGGC